GTGCCATCTCCATGGTGATGTGCATGAGCTGCTGGAAGCGATGTAGGGCCCAGTCCAAACAGAAATCCATATAGTCCCTGTAGGCCGCTTCCATGTTCTCGCAGCTTACCCACAACGCTGCGACCTGCTCCGCACGATGTCGTATCTTCTGTAGGTCGGCCTCTGTGTTGTCTTCTTCCAGGTACTCTGTACTTGGTCTGCTGGGCTCCGTCCTCGACCACGTCCCTGGTGTCGGTCTGCTCGTTGAGCTCACTGGAGTGCTCAGGGGTTCGTCAGATTATTGTGCTTGATGCTCTCCAGGTACTGGGAGCGGTTCGTGTGCCTGGTCGATCCTCTCTTGGACGTTCGGCTGGTCTCCTGCTGCTGATACCGCTTAGGGGTTCACGATCTGCTCCTCGGCGTCGGTTCTCACCTTCGTCAGACTCGTGATCTCCTCCATTGCCACGTCTATGCTTGCCAGCTGGTCGCTGACAATCTGAATGGCGGTCATGTCCATCGAGCTGTCCGCCATCAGCAGCTTGACCGCGATCGCCATTGCGAATCCAGCTCGTCGTAGAAAACCTCCAGGTCGTCCGTGAAAGCCTCGTCCTCCACGTCCGCCTCATCGTCCTCCACGTTGTAGCGCACTGGATCCACTCGCTGGTGACTTCGTCTTTTCGCACTCGGGGTCACCCTTCCAGTGGCCCTTCTCGTGGCACGCGTTGCACTTCGTGCGCGCCTTGATCTGCTTCAGCTTATCCTCAGCCTCTTTTCTGTCCATATTGATGGAGCCCCGCTTGTTGATGTTGGCTTTCCAGCCTCTATTCGACTTGCTCTGAGCAAGCCGCTCCCGGGCCTGCTTGTAGTTGGGTTTGCGGTTGCGCCGTCCAGCTTTCCAGCCAAGGCGTTGCGCCTCCGTCGCCAGGGTGTCGCACTCCTCCTGGCTGATCTCGTCCGGGTCCACGTCATCAATCACTCCCTCGAACTCGTCGATGTCCGCTGCAAGTGCGTCGTAGTCCGCATCACTCAGGAAAACGTCCTCGTCGCACGGTGCACATTCGTCTCCGAGTAGAGCATATTCTTCTTCGTCGTCGTAGTCCACCGGGTAGGCTCCGCATCGTCCATGTCCACGATCGTCTCGGCCTGTGCTGTCCAGCTGTGTCAGCATGGCTGCCGTCACGTCGTCCCAGATGTATTCGTTGTTGCATTGGCCAAGGATTGCCTTGTGCTCTTGCATGCTGATTTTCGCTAGCTTCAGTAGAAAGTATGTCCGCAGGTCTTCGCTGACTGTGTTCGTTGAAAGTGACTTGAGCCGCTCGTACTCTGTCTCTCGCCTCGATATGTAGTCCTGCACAGACTCCGTTCGATTGCGAAAACCTCGGAAGAAATACTCCTCGAACGCTTGCTGCTTCTGTAGTGGTGCGATTCTCTCGCGCGCCTCTCGTACTGTAGTTGCCACCAGTTTGACTGCAGCAAGTGGGTCATTACCTGCTTCGTCCAAAACTGCTTGCGTACTGATCTCAGCCTTCTTTCGTGTGAGTGTCCACGCTCGTCTATTTAGAGAATTCTTGAGCTTGATCGCGTGGAGCTTCTTGATTTTCTCCTCGCTCGCGTGGTAGCCGAGCATTGCGCGCTCCTCGAACTCCTCGCCGTAGGATGGGTCGCCGTTGCAGTGTACCACGCCCTCCTTGTCAACGAAGAGGGGGCCGTCATTGAACTGATGCTGCTGCTGCCTGGACGTCATCTTGATGACTGTGATGCTACTGAGCCTGTCTCCGATGTAGTAGCTGTCTTGATCGTTGCTGCTGTAGTTCTGCTGCTCGCCCGGGATGCCGTTGATGCAACGATCCTCGTCCAAGCTGTCGTAGGTAATGATTTTGAGCGTCTTGTCGATCCGTGACCTGCTGAGCGCAGTGGTTAATCGCCGCTAGGATGTAAGTGAACGCCAGCATATATGTCTGCACGGCCTCTGCATGAAATCCTCGTACCGCGGACTGGTTCAGCTCGCGCTACCAGTGTAAATATTGATCCAAATCTCTCCACCCACAACCTCTTGATGCAAGAAGAAATAGATCGAGAATGATCTGATATTATTCCGATGTCAAGCTAGACAGTCGTTGAATGCGCCCACCCCCCCGCCACAGCTGGCGGGCCCGCGGCCAAAACGGCCGCGGCGAACAAGAGAGCGCAAGCATGAGCGAGCGAGAGCAGCAACATAGATAATTCTAAACATAATCCTATATCTCACATCCTTGCAAATACAACTTTCACAGGACGTTCCCCCCCCTGCGGTCACTGACGACCCTCCACAGGGAGCGGTGGAGGGATCACAGTGGTGACTCCGTCCGGCGCTGTTCCCCCCGCGGTCACTGAAGACCCTCCACAGGGAGCGGTGGAGGGATCACAGAGGTGACTCCGACCACACAGCATCGACATTGGTGCTGCCTCTTCCTTCTCCTCCTCCAATTCACCGGATTGTGCGGCTCTCGGCTGCGCCCCCCTTCCTCCTCCTCCTCCTTTTGTGCTGATGCGGCGCTCAGCGCCGCTCGATCGCGGCGCTCCAGGTGCTGGGCTACGGCAAGGTGCAGACCTGCACGCCCCCCCGCTCCGGCACCACCTGTGGCCGGACCTGGGGTTAGCGTTGTCCTGGCAAGTGGTTCATCCTTTGGCAGGTCACCGCGATTCCCCCGGCAGGTGCGCCCCTGTTACCTCGGCTGACGCTCGCGACTTTGCGCCCCCGCCCCTTGCGACGGATAAGTTGCCCGCGCTGCACGCCGACGACGCCGACGACTCGCTTCCCACGGCGGGCGTCGCCTTCGAGTTCTTGCTACTGCACAAGCGGTGTATCCTGCGGCAGTTCATCTCGGCCCTCCCGCAGGGTGGCCCGGGATACTCGACCAGCGCTTGCAGCTGTATCCCCCCGACTTTCAGAGTCAGGCAAGTTGCAGGTCGTGGGCTCAGAAGACAGGGCCGCCGTTTCCTTGAATAGGACGGTCGCTCAGGCCCATGTACATCCCATGAGTCCATGTGAGTGAAGCCTCCTTCTGTTCCCCCCCTCTCCTGTCCCCGCGTGCCCTCGCGCCCGCCGTGCCTATCCCTTTCCTTCGCCTCCTCGTCGTGTTGGGCGGCGCGGCCACCCCGGCCCCTCCGCGTCGCCACAGCGCGGCGTGATCCACGCCCTTGCGCGCTGTTCGGTACGGTCAGAGCTGGCGCCACTTGTGCGATTTCTTTTCCGTCAGTTCCCTTTTTTGATGCCTGCGTTCCCCGATTCTGGGTCGCCTGCGCCTTGATGAAGGTCATTTTGTCCCTGGCACGTGCACCCGCTCTGCGGCCTATGCGCCGCTGCCGCTCATTATCTCGCCCTGTGGCCCAGCCGAGACCGCCCCGCTCTCTGGATCTGTCCTTTGAGCCGCCAATCCAAACAACAAAAAAGTGCTGCAGCCCACGCGAGGCGCCGCTTAGCTCGCTTAGGCGGCTTAGGTTGTTGACTCTAGTTTGCTGTTGCAAATTAGTAGGCCCGCGCCCCAGGTTGTGCTTGTCCAGTGCAGCCGCAGCCTGAGCCGCCATGGTAGGTAGGCAGTTCGGCCTTCGGCCGGTAGCCCGCGCCAGCCGCGTGTTTTCGCTGTAAATTAGAAGGTGCCGCAGCCCGGACTTACTTGGAAGGCGCCTGCGCTCTCGCTTGCGCCCGCGACCAAAAAAAATACCCCCACCGGCCCATCCAGGGACGATGCCCAGAGGACTTGCTTCGATCAGGGAAGTGGGCAGCACACAGAGGAAGGGTCCCCCAGTGGAGGCCTTTTGGAGCGTCTTGGGTGCCTCGGAGAGCTTCTTGGGGCCTCGTGGGGGTCTCTTGGGAGCATCTTGGAGGCCTCTTGGGCGCCTGTTGGGGCCTCCTGGGCGCCTCTTGCGGCCCTCTTGAAGCGCTCTTGGGAGCCTTGGGAGCGCTCTTGGGGCCATCTTGGGGGACATCGATCAAACAAGAAGCGAGTTGCCCCTCGGGAGCCCAAGCAATCGCCTCTTGGGGCGCTCTTGGGGCGGTCTTGGAGCGCTCTTAGGCGTTCGTGGGGCCGTCGTGTGGCTCTCTGGAGCCTCTCTTGGAGCCTCGTGGGCCATCTTGGAGCCATCTTGAGGGGTCGGATGGCCATCGGAAGCGAAAAGGCGAGAAAGCTAAACACATAGAATTTCCTAAGGTGTTGGCCTCTTCGGGGCCTCCTGGGGGAGCTCTTTGGCCGCTGGGAGCCGTCTTGGAGCGGTCTTGGGGCATCTTGGAGCATCGTGGGAGACATTCTGAGACATCTTAGGATATCTTGAGCCAGCTTGGAGGTCATTTGGGGCTCCCCCAAGCGCTCTTGGAGTCATCTTAATCAGTGCCCCCCCAAGAGGCCAACATGTGACTAAAAACCTTAGTAAAATCAATGATTTGGCATTCTCGCCGAGGCCTCTTGGAGCATGGTGGGTGCCTCTGGGGGGTCTTTTGGGGCCTCTTGGGGGTCTCTCGAGAGCCTCTTGGGGGCATCCTGGGGGCCTCTTTGGGCTTCCTGGCCACCTCTTGGGACCCTCGTGGGGGACCCTTGGGAGCCTTGGGGCCATCTTGGGGCCATCTTGGGTGAGATCGATCACAGGAGGGGGGGTACTAATTACAGTCCCCCCTCAGGAGGCCAACATGGGGCCAAAACCTTTTGTAAAACCATTGATTTGTATTTCCTCGCCGAGGCCGTTTTGGACGCTCCGACACCTCGCTAAACCTTTTGTCCAGGTTGGGCGGGGGGCAGGGGGAGGGGTAAAACCCCTCCCCGAAGGGGAAGAAGGAGGGGTGGAAGAGGAAACTCCCTAAACCACCGACGCCTAGAGGGCTGGTGGGACTCTGCCAGGCGGCACCACGGTCGCCTCTGCCGTGGCCGCCGCCGCCGTCTGGCCTGCCGCCCCGCGCTGCCCGCGCCGTTCGGGCCGCTCTCACCGCTGCCCCTGGCGTGCCCCGCCCCGCGCGCGCGCTCGCGCTCACACGGTCGGCGCCGTCCGAGGCGTGGAGCAGGCTGGCGCTCGCAGGAAGGCCGCCGCGAGGAGTGCGCTCCCGCCCGCCGCCGCCGCCGCCGCCGCCGTCGTCGTCGTCGTCGTCGTCGTCGTCGTCGTCGTCGTCGTCGTCGTCGTCGTCGTCGCTGCTGTCGTCGTCGTCGTCGTCGCTGCCGTCGTCGTCGTCGTCGTCGTCGTCGTCGTCGTCGTCGTCGTCGTCGTGATCGTCGTCGTTCATTTGCGGTCGTCGGATTGAGTAGTCTTCGGAACGAGTCTCAAAGACTTGTGGGGATGTTTGAAGATCGAGCATCGAGGTGCGAGCGTCAACCGTGGAGGCTCGAACATGGGGCGTTTAGAAATTTTCTGGGCCGCTGATGATTAGTGCCTGGGGGCTTGAAATCCCCAGACTACCGTCTTGAGATGTCTTGAGCCAAACTGGTTACGGATACGCGGGAAGAGGACGAGCACGAAGAGGAGGAGGAGGAGGAGGAGGAGGAGGAGTGAGGAGGAGGCGGATGACGGAGCAGGGGCGACTAGTTTTAGTTCTCAACCATATTGTAGTGTTCGGTCCTCGTTTTGAAAAGACAACGAACGCCCCGCGTCCCTCCCACCACCTTCTCCCGCTCCTCCCTCCTCCCATCCCTGTCTCAGCCCTCCGCATTTCTGTGTTGCGACACACTCAGTGCAGCGTTTGGTGGCCCTGTAGGCAGCTCCAACCAAGGCCCCAGTGGCATCGTCCACATGCGTCCGTGCCATGCTTCGTGGTCCCATAGGGAGCTCCACCAAAGGCCCGGAAGGCACCGTCTACGTGCGTCCGCGTCACACATTTCGGCACACCCCTCACACGTTTCGTTGCCCCATAGGTAGCTCCACCGAAGGCCCCACGGTCACCGTTCACATGCGTCCCCGCCATCCATTTCGGCGCACCCATCACACGCTTTTTGGCCCCATAGGGAGCTCCACCCAAGGCCCCACGGGCGCCGTCCACATGCGCCCGCGCCACCAATTTCGGCACACCCCTCGCACGCTTCGTGGCCCCATTGGGAGCTCCACCAAAGGCCCCAGCGGCAGTCCACACGCGTCCGCGCCACCCATTTCGGCACACCCTCACATGTTTCGTGGCCCCAAGTAGGGAGTTCCGCCCAAGGCCTCAGTTGCACCGTCCACACGGTCCGCGCCACCCACTTCGGCACACATTTCACATGTTTCGTGGCCCCATAGGGAGTTCCTCTCAAGGCCCCTGTGGCACCGTCCTCATGTGTCCGCGCCGCCAAGTCCGTCACACCCCTCACACGCCACCCAAGGCCTGAATGGTACCGTCCGCATGCGTCCGCGCCACCCGTTTCGTCACACCCTTCACACGCTTCTTGGCCCCATTGGGAGCTCCATCCGACCACCGACTACAACCGACCAACAGCACCAACCACCCGCCAGCGACACTGACCCCTAACCAACAACACCCGCCACTGACCACCGCCGCCGACCACCGACCAGCAACACCACGCGCAACCCTTACCGCAGCCAGCCAACAACACCAACACCAACCAGCACCGACCAGCGCCGACCACCAGCACCAGCAGAAACGGCACCGACCTCAATCAACCAGCAACACGCGCCAACGCCCACCGCCGACCACACACAAGAAACGCCACCACAAACAGCACCGACCCCGACCGACCAGCAACGTCCAACACCACCCGCCCACCACAATTGACCAGCGCTACCAGAGGCAGTGCCGACCCAAACTCATCACCAGCGCCCACCAGCGAGCACCGCCGACCACGACCGACCAACAACGCAGCGAACAGCTCCGACACCCACTGACCGACAGCACCCAGCGCCCATCACCGACAACAGCGGACCAGCAACGCCACAAGCAGCGCCGACCCTCACCGACCAGCAACACCGCAAGCAACACCGACCCCAACCGACCCACAGCACACACCAGCATCCACCACCGGCCACAACCGACCAGCACCACCACAAGCAGTAACGACTCCAACCGACCATCAGCACCAATCGTCGACCACACCCGGCCAACACCACGAACAGCACCCACCTCAACCGACTAGCAGCACCCACCAGCGCACACCGCCGACCACCACCGACCATTTTCGTGATTTCACGGGTTTCCGATGCTCTCTGGGGTCCGCCGCCGTTTCATGTCGTTCAAGTCTTGAGTAATGCGGGAGAGGCGCACTAACCACGCCTTGATGGGGGTGGTTTTCTACTTCACCAGGTGCCCACAGCTACCATCCTGCCTTCCGTGACCCACCTGCTCCCTGGCGTGTGGTACGCCCGCGCCTTGCCTTGGGTGCTCACTGCAGTGCCCAGCGATCCCGCCGTGCGCGGAGGCGGCGCCTGTGACCTGCCCAGCGGCTGCCCCTTGCCCGGCGCCCGCCTGCCCGGCGTGCGCGGCGCGTGCGGCGCCCGAGCCCGCGGCAGCCACTGCCGCGCCTGAGGCGGCTGCCACCGCGGCGGCCGCGAGCGCGGTGACCGACGCCGTGCTGGACGTGCGCTCGCTGGCCTCGGGGCTGCTGGGCGGCGCGATCGGCTTCGCGGTCACCGCGGCCCGCTTCGGGCGCTGCTGCGCGGCGCTGCGGCGCGGCGCGCGTCCTCGCAGCCGCGGTTTCGCGGGCCTGGGCGATGGCGGCGCTCGCGACGACTCGATGGGCATGCGTCTTCTACGCCTGCGTGGTGGTCTGGCACCAGCTCTTGAATCTGGGCTGGGTGGCGTTGTCGGAAGCAGACCACGTCAGCTACATCGCGGACGGGGACCAGTACATCGTGGCCCTCGCCAACAACCCAGATGTGCAGGCGGCGCGGTTTGGCGCCTTTGACCCGCTTCCGCCAGGGATCGCAGCCGACAAGGTGCATCGGTTCCTCGCGGGGCCCACCGACGCCGAGCTGGGCCAGCTTACGGCTTACGGCGGAGGCGGAGCAGGTCGCCATGGCCGCGTGCCGCCGTCGGGCGCAGGCGATCGGCCACCTGGGGCCGCTGGCAAACCTCCGCGCGTTGGTCACTCCGGGAGGCGGCGCCGCCGCGCCACTCGCGCTTGCAGGCCCCGCGCTGGGCTTGCTGCGCGGCGCCGCTCCTGTTGGCCTCGGCGCTGGCGTTGGCGACCCGGCGGGGGTCTGGCGCGCGATAGCTTCGAGGGCGACTACCGCATCGGCGACGACGTCCCGATGCGCGCCCCTACCGCGGCACGGGCACAGGACCGCGACATCCGCGCGCTGTCCGACGGCCAGGGCCTCTTCGCGGAGTTGGTGCCGCCCGCAGCGCTGGCGACGCGGACGCGAGGGTTCTCCCCGTCGTCCGCGACACCTTGAGCCGCAGGCCGACCGTGGCGGCATCGGGCGGGCACCGCTTCGTCTCGGTGACGCTTCGCGCCCAGGGGGCCGGCGAGGTCCTCAAGACAGGCGAGTCCGACGCGTCGGTCCGCCTCGGCCCCGAGAGGCAGACGTGCCCGGCAGCGGCCCCGATGGCCATGACCGACGCCCGGCGCAAGGCAGCGCGCGTCTTGGGGCTGGCGAAGCTCGGGGCGCGCCACATCCGGCAGCTCCGCCACTCGGGGCCCAGCCACGACCGCGCCGCGGCCCTGCGCGACCTCGAGCAGATCCGCCGCCGGGGCCGCTGGATGTCGTGGAGCTCCGCGCGGCGGCGCGGGAATGGAGGGCGGCTCGCCAGGCAGCCGCGCAAGCTGCCCGCCGCCCAGCGCCGCCGCGCCGAGGCCCGCGCCCTGAGTCTGAGCCAGTCGCGCCGCGGCCGGCCCTGGCCGGCGGCGCCAGTCCGCCCGACCCGCCAGCGATGTTAGACTTATTTTCAGGCGCGGGGGGTTTCGCTAGAACTGTCGCCGGTTTAGGCATGCCTGTGCTCACGTGGGATACGACCCACGGGGGAAAGCATGACCTCTCTCGCCCGCGCAACCGCTCCGTGATTTTGTCGCGGGCAAGAGCGGGCCGTTTGAGAGGGTGGCATGTGGGCGTCCCTTGCGACGCACTGACGTGGCGCCGAGACCGCGGGGTCGGCGCGCCACCTGTTCGCTTCGACCGTCACCTCCTGGGCCTCCCCAACTTCAGACCTCGTCTGCAGGCGATCGTCGAAGTTTCCGACGCTTTGAATGCTTTCATTGCAACGCTCGCTTGCGTCAGTCTGTCTTTGCGTATCCTTTGGAGCGTTGAGAACCCGAAGACTTCCAGGTCATGGTTGCTCCCCCGCTTTAAGGCTGTGGATCGACGTCGGGCCGTCGCCTTCCATATTGCATCCACGTGTCAGTGGGGTGCGCCTTGGGAGAAAAATACAGGGCTCATGTTTGGCGACCTTGACCCCGGTCCGTTTCGGGACTTTGGTTTTCTAGGCGGCTCCAGACGGGGATGCAGCCGCGCTCATCGCTCACGCCAGCAGCTTAAGGGTTTCCTGCCCCAGGGTGGTTTCAAAACCAAGCAGGGGGCTGAGTGCCCACGAGAGTTCTGCGTTGCATTGGCGCGTCTTTTTCACAATGCTGAAGTAAGGCCCACGGGTGAGATTCTTTAAAGAGCGTTAAGTTAGCGCGTCTCTCCTTATTCAGCGTTGCCAGATTGCTCAGCAAAATCGAGGTGCTTTTGTACTCAGGGCGAGTCCACCCTTCGAGACTTTGCGGTTGCCTGTGCCTGGCGGCGGCCCCGACGGCAGGATCCTGCCCCGTGCTCCGTCTCTCGTAGTTGCTGGCAGTGAAAGGTGAGCTCAGGAACACCATCACGAACAACGCCGGTCCCAGCCGACTCACATCGTTCATCGCGACTCACCAACGACCACAGACCAACAGCTCGGCTGCCGACTCAATCTTCCCCGACGCAGAAAAAGACAGTCTGCGGAGAAATTGATGTCAAGGACTTGATTGTCATCCAGAAATGCGAGGTCCTTCGAGACGAATAACCGGATTGACGAATTGCTGCGTGAAGTGCGCGGTTCGCATTGAGATGTTATTATGATAAATGAAGTGTTGAGGGCGACATGGCGAGAGCTTGGATAGCGACAGATGGGCACACTTGCGCGGGGTATGGCAATGACAGTTTTTCTCACGGAATTGCAGTCTCCTTACACAAACGACGGAGCAGTTACGTATCAGGGCTTCAGGCCATCAGTGCGAGAATCGTTTTGTTCAGCGTGAACAAGAGAAATATGGTAGAGCGCGCGCGTGGGGCCCGATAAACTAAAAGGGGGGCCCCAGCTTGAAGCTACCCCCCTCCCCCCTTCCTTGCTAGAGGGGGGGGGGCTTCGGAAGCCCCCCCCCCTCCCCCTTTTTCGTGGTTCGGAAAGGGGGGGGGGGGCTTCCAAGCTACCCCCCCCTCCCTCCCTTAATTGAGCCGGGGTGAGTCACCCCCCCCCCTTGAAAGGGCGGGGGCTTCGGAAGCTACCCCCCCCCCCTCCCTTTTCCTGGCCGGAAAGGGGGGAGGGGGCTTCCAAGCTACCCCCCCCTCCTCCTTTTAATGGAGCTGGGGTGAGCCACACCCCCGCCTTTGAAAGGGGGGGGCTTTGGAAGCCCCCCCCCCTCCCTCCCTTGGTGCAAAAGGGGGGGCTTGAAGCCCCCCCCTCCCTTCCCCCCTTTGGCCGCCCAGCTCCCGGAGCCATCGCCCTCCCTTTCGCCTCCATTTATTCCCGCCCCTCTCCCTCCTCCTCTTCTTCCTTTTGCCTCCTCCTCTTCCTCGTCCTCCTCATCCTCCTCATAGTCATCATCGTCATCATCATCATCATCATCATCATCATCATCATCACCATCATCATCATATCATCATCATCGTACTCCCCCGCGGGTCCTTCCGTTCCGTTCCTCCTCCTCCTCCTCCTCTTCGGTTTTCTCCTCCTCCTCCATTTTTCCCTCCTCCTCCTCATCATCATCAGCAGCATCATCAATTCATCCTCCTCCTCCTCCTCGTGATCCTCCTCCTCCGTTTCCCCCCTCCTCCTCCTCCTCCTCCTCCTCCTCCCTCCTCCTCCTCCTCCTCCCTCCTCCTCCTCCTCCTCCTCCTCCTCCTCCTCCTCCTCCTCCTCCCTCTCCTCCTCCCTTCCTCCTCCTCCTCCTCCTCCTCCTCCTCCTCCAATTCTTTTCCCACCGCCCCACCACGTCCGTCACCCGAACTCGGCGCGCTCTTCTATCTGGGTCCGCTCCTCCTCCTCTTCCTTCTCCTCCTCCTCCTCCTCCTCCTCCTCCTCCCCCTCCGCATCCCCCATCCTCCGCCTCCTCCTCCCCCAGCTGGACGCCGTCTTACACGAACACTGCCAAACCCGACGGGCTGGCGTCTTCCGAATTACACTTCGTGCAACTTTCGGGGGGGATTGTATTTTTCCCAACCCTCCTTGGTTGGGTATTCGTTTTGAATAGGGCAGTGTGGTCTCCACTTCCTCTTCCCGTCCCGTCTCCCTCTTGCCTCCTCCTGTCTTGCTTGCGGGGGGCTGCGATCTGTGAAACTGTCGCCACTTTCGAGGCTTGCTGGGGGGCCCAGCACAGTGACGCCACGGGCGGACCCAAATTCTAGACGCTTCGCGTATCCCCACCAGCCCGTCCAGAAACGACGCCCAGGCGAGTAGAGGGTCGTCCTGAGGGGCTTTTCGGCGTGTTGGGTGCCTCGGGGGGGGCCTCTTTGGGCCGTTTGGGATCCTCTTGGGGGCCTCTTGGGGGCCTCCTGGGGCAATCTTGGGGCCATCTTGGGGCCTCTTGGTGCCTCCTGGGCGCTTCTTGGGGGCATCTTGGAGGAAATCGATCAAAGAAGAGGGGAGCTTTAATTAGCGCTGCCCCCTCAGAAGGCCAAAATGGGGCCAAAACCTTAGTAATTTCAATGATTTTGGCTTCAAAGAAGAGGGGAGCTTGAATTAGCGCTGCCCCCTCAGAAGGCCAAAATGGAGCCACAACTTTTTAGTAAAATCAATGATTTTGGCTTCAAAGAAGAGGGGAGCTTCAATTAGCGCTGCCCCCTCAGAAGGCCAAAATGGTGCCAAAACCTTAGTATAATCAATGAATTTGGCTTCCTCGGCGAGGCCTTTTTGGACGCTCTGACCGCTCCCCGCCCCCCCTGTCCAGGTCAGTGGGGGGGGAGGGGTAAACCCCTCCCCGAAGGGGAAGAAGGAGGGGTGGAAGAGGAAACTCGTTAAACCACCGACGCCCTAAAGGGCTGGTGGGATTAGACCTCGCCATCCCTGGGGGGCTGCGATCTGTGAAACTGTCGCCACTTTCGAGGCCTGCTGGGGGGCCCAGCACAGTGACGCGGATTCCAAATTAGACCTCGCCATCCCTGGGGGGCTGCGATCTGTGAAACTGTCGCCACTTTCGAGGCCTGCTGGGGGGCCCAGCACAGACCACGGCGGACCAAATTAGACCTCGCCATCCCTGGGGTGCTGCGATCTGTGAAACTGTCGCCACTTTCGAGGCCTGCTGGGGGGCCCAGCACAGTGACGCCACGGCGGACCCAAATTAGACCTCGCCATCCCTGGGGGGCTGCGATCTGTGAAACTGTCGCCACTTTCGAGGCCTGCTGGGGGGCCCAGCACAGTGACGCCACGGGCTTCAATTAGACCTCGCCATCCCTGGGGGGCTGCGATCTGTGAAACTGTCGCCACTTTCGAGGCCTGCTGGGGGGCCCAGCACAGTGACGGCCACGCGCGGATTCAAATTAGACCTCGCCATCCCTGGGGGGCTGCGATCTGTGAAACTGTCGCCACTTTCGAGGCCTGCTGGGGGGCCCAGCACAGTGACGCCACGGCGGACCCAAATTAGACCTCGCCATCCCTGGGGGGCTGCGATCTGTGAAACTGTCGCCACTTTCGAGGCCTGCTGGGGGGCCCAGCACAGTGACGCCACGCGCGGATTCAAATTAGACCTCGCCATCCCTGGGGGGCTGCGATCTGTGAAACTGTCGCCACTTTCGAGGCCTGCTGGGGGGCCCAGCACAGTGACGCCACGCGCGGACCCAAATTAGACCTCGCCATCCCTGGGGGGCTGCGATCTGTGAAACTGTCGCCACTTTCGAGGCCTGCTGGGGGGCCCAGCACAGTGACGCCACGGGCGGACCCAAATTAGACCTCGCCATCCCAGGGGGGGCTGCGATCTGAGATCCCCCCTTTCGAAGTGGCTAGGGTTGCTCAGGGATTGCAACTAATCAGCTTTATCTAGTCCTTGTCCTGAAGCCAGTTTCCTGCGAGTCTCCCGAATTCCGTCTGCAGACATATGTAACCCTCGCTCCGTCATCGCCCCCCTTATAAAGTGTCCTAAACTATTTGCGCCCCGCGTTTGCGCAGGGGTTGGGTACGTCGCCAGGGTAATTTTTCGTTCCCGGGCGTTGGCACGGGACGAGTTGAATGATACATTTGCGTTGCAATCGGTTGAATTGCAATCGATTCAATCGATTGGATTGCAGGGGAGGGACAGGACGGAAGGGAGGGAGGGGAGGAGAGGGAGGGGAGGGAGGAGATGGAACGAAGGGTGTGGAGGGAGGGGAGGGAGCGGAGGGAGGTGGGGAGGGGGATTGCAGTGGAATGGAGTGCAATCGATTGCAAGCGATTCGATTGGGATTTTCGATCGTCGATCGTTGATCGTCGATCGTCCATCCTCGATCGTGGATTGTTCATTTTGGATCGTCGGCGAAAGGGAGGGCGGAGGCTCCGGGGGCTGGGCGGCCAAAGGGGGAAGGGGGGGGGGCTTCCAAGCCCCCCCCCCCTTTGGCACAAAGGGGGGTGGGGGGGGGGGAGCTTCCAGCAGGGCGTCTCCAAGGGAGGGGGGGGGTAGCTTCAGCACGCCCCTCCCTTTGGAAAGGGGGGTAGGGGGGGGTAGCTTCCGGGGCGGCCAAAGGGGGGGGGGAGGTGGGTAGCTTCCAAGCACCCCCCCCCCCCCTTTGCACGAAAGGGGGGGAGGGGGGTGCAAGTAGTCGGCGGAAGCTGCGCAGCGGTATCGATCTGTGAATATTTTCTGAACTCCTAAAGCTCGAGCCCTGCTCACAGGGCTTCTAAACTCCCGTGCCTCTGAGCACAAGCGAGGGGGCGCTAGAGCCGAGACGGTAGCAGGCAAAACACATGGAAAACACAACTCCAATCGCAAGCTGAAGCTATGCAATAACATGGAACATGAAACATCTGCTACCCTGCTGGACTCACTCACTCATGCTCAGGCTTGCTCGTCTTCGGAATTGCACAGATAAGGGTCCTCCAAGCTGAGCGTCCTTGAGTCTACCTCCTCGTCTGAACTGCACTCGGTCATGACCTCGTATGGCGGGAAGTCGGGGCACGCAGCTGCATTGATATGAACTGTTGAACCACCTGGGGTCTTGAGAATGCCAACTCCCACGTGCTCGAACGGCTGGATCCCGGCTGCCTTCCTCTTACGCGCACTCTGGTACTTCTCGTCGTAGACCAACTTCCAGCGGTGCCCGTTGTTGAAGTACATCCGCAGCTGGCCCGGCTCGTGTCCCTTCGTCAGCGAGTTGGCGAGCTGAGCATCCCCATGTACCCAGAGCATCCAGTTGTTCGCCGCCTGCGTCCATTCCTTCAGCGTCATCGCCTCCACGTCAGTCCGCTTCTCCTTGCCCCGGAAGGTGTAGACCGTCGTCTGCAGCTTGTCGTACAGGCCCTTCGAGTCCACAACCACCGCTCCTGGCAGTCTGCGTAGAACTCCCTCGGGACTCCTCCAGTCGATGTTGTTGCCCAGGATCTCCAGCCACTGCAACTTGATACCGAACAGCTCGTCCTCCACGTCCACGGCTGAGCGTGTCTCACATGCCACGGAACTGCGGCAACCACGACCGATCTTGCCCGACTTCCAGGATATGAGGCTCACGTCCGCCTCGTCGCCCTTGAGGATCTTCAGAGGTGCCAGGCCTGCCACCAGGCCCTTCGTGGACTTCCCATCGGGTCGATTGGCCTCGGAAGAAGCCGACCACTCCACTGGCATCAGCACCTGCGACTGAGAGTGGCTGTGGATCACCACGGGTAGATCAGCACATTCACGAACACGATCAACTAGGCGGTTGGTCTCGTTGATGGTCTGCACAGTGGAAAAGGGTAGTGTGCTGAGCAATAGGCTGGTGTCGGCCGAGTGCATGGGACCTGAATGCTCGGACCTCCATCCGATGGCTCCCCAGATAGCCCTCAGCTGGCCCTTCTCCTTGTCGGTGGTCGGCATGTCCTTGGCCTTCTTGCGCTCTGGGGTGAGGTACGCCTTCTCGATGGTTTTCACGCACTCGCTCTGATCCATGCGGAAGCTCCTGTCGGGCTGCTGCTTGATCCGCACCCCCGTCTGCATGAACTCCTCCGACTCCCAGGCCTTCCACTTGAAGCGCTTCTCGATCTGCTCCCGGGCGGTGATCCACCTGGGGTCCGCGTCGTTGCCACCGAGCAGGAAGTCGTCCACGTGCGAACCCGCAGTGGCTATGATGTCCAGGTCCCCCTTCGCCGCGATCAGGTCCTCCAGCACCTCTGGGTTCGTAAAGTCCTTCAGCGCCTCCTTGGTGAAGCTGTTATCCTTGCCGTGCGCGTCACCGTAGAGCACCCACACGCAGGGGTCCATCTTCATCTGGGTCCAACCGAACTCCTCCAGCGCCTCGCTCACGGTCATGAACCACTCGACCGTTGCCTCCACGAGCCCGTAGACCGCCTTCCTGAGCCGCATTGCAACACCCTCGGGCATCCCCAGGGCCGCCGCTAGCTCCTTCACGGGCATCACGAACAGGTCATGCTGGATCTTTCGGTTCTGCGTGAAAGCTCTCGTCACGTCCGCCTTGTAGCCCTTGAAGCCCAGCCACGCCATCGCCTGCAGCACCAGGTGCCTCGAAGTTCTCGTCATGGTTGGAGCGGCAGTCGGACGGTGCTCGTACTCGGGGCCCATGTAACCCAGAACAACGATCCTCGCCTTCGGCTTTTTCGCGCCCGTGTTCTCGCCCACCTTCCACTCGAGAATCCACCTCATGCGCATGATGTCCTCAGGAGGCGGGGCCACTCCTGGTGGGAGTGTCTCCAGCACCGACGACACAATGTAGTTGTTCACCTCCGTGGCCTTCGCTTGGCTGAACTTCGCCACCTAGTCCGGGGTCAACGTCCTCTCCGAGATCTCGCGCCTGCCTTTCCGCTGCTGGCTCGCCATGTAGGTGCTCATGTGCCTCGTGGCCTGCTTGAGCGGCTTGCCCTCCAATGGAACCTCAACGGAGACCTCCAGTGACGTACCTTGACGAGCCCAAAATGCCCGGGCGTCTGGAGTGAACTTCGCCATGAGGGCCATGTTCTCCTTCATCTGCTCCTCCGCCAGGGCTGCTCGAGACGCTCGAACCTGGTCGGCTGTTCCTCCTGGATGGCGTCCTTTCTCGAGAATCCGCTTCCGCACTGGTGGTGTTGAACGGCTCCCTGAGGTCTGGCCGTCTCCTGTAGCTTGTCCTGTGCGGGCCTTCTTCAATGGAGGGGCTGGGTCAGGTAGTCCCTCCCAGGTCGAGATCTCCACGTCGTTCTCGGTGGGGTCGTGGCCAGTGAAGCCCAGGTACTCGTGGTTCAGCGCCTGATTCATGAAGGTGTGGACCGTCCAGGGCGCGCCCTTGCCTCCCATCAGCTCGGCGCAGGCGATCTCCCGTGAGGAAGCCGCTCGGATCTGGCAGAGGTCCACCTTGATGATACGCCCTGCTCTTACAAGCCACACCACGGATCCTGCACGCCCAGGGTGTAGAACACGTCCTTCGCCAAGGTCCCCGTCTACCGGCCGCGCCGTCTCTGTGGCCAGGACCCTCGCGAGCCCCTTGAAGCGGCCCTTAGCTTCGCCCTTCTCCTTCCTGAAGTAGCGCACCCACATGCCCGGCACCGCGGACTTCACCGCCTGATTCTTCGCGTTCTCCGCCCTGCTGAGGCGTCGCATGTAGACCCTTCTCAGGTACTCCTGCTCTGCCGCGCGCATCCTGGTGTAGTTTTCCCCGAACTCCTTGTCGACCCTCTGGGCTTCCACGTAGGGCAGCTCGTGAAAGTCGCTCTCAAAGAAGTGTCCGTCCAGGTCTGGCGCCCGTCCTAGGGCATGTTGAAGGGGTGAGTGTCCTCGAACATCTTCACGTGAGTTCCCAGCTGCGGTCGCCCTTGCCAGGGCTTCCTCCGTCGTCATCTCGGGGTTCTCCGCCACCAGCTTGTCCACGGCCCCCTTGGTGGCCTGGACGGCCTCCTCGGCGAGCGAGATGTGCCAGTGAGCCTGGCCAGGTATGGGTTCGTACCCGATGGAGTCGGAATCGAAGTACTCAGCCGCCTGCTTGGACATCCAGGATCCCTCGGGGTCCACCTTTACCCTCTGCGGCTTGCCGAAGTAGGGCATCCAGCGCTCCTCGTAGAACAGCTTGAGGTCAGCCCATACAGGATTCCTGTGCCGGTCCTCGCCAACCATGTGGTACAGCAGCTTGCTAACGCGCACCCTGCAGTTCTCGTCTACGATCAGGGAGATCTTGGACTTGACCTTCGTCTGCGGGTGCTCCCACTCGAACTGGTCCGCCTGGATGTGCTTCCACTTCGGCGGGATGGCCTCTAAGCTGACGGGCGGATGCGCAGGCTTGAACTTGTTCGCCTCCTCGCACGCGTCGCAGTGGAAGTCCTGGGCCACCTGCAGCACCGAAGCGCGTTCAGTATGGAGGCCTTCGAGCTGTGACCTGAGCCGCGGTGGATCGAGGTGAGCCACTTCATGATCTGCTGGTACTCCTTCGAGTTCACGTCTGTGTTCATCTTCGTCTCCTCCTGGTAGGCTGCCATCACCTGGTCGATCACCTCCTCGGGCTCTGCCAAGCACCTCAGGAACTCGTGGTAGTCAGGCGCGGCCTCCTCGATCATCGCACGAACAGCTCGCCTTGCAAACTCGTCCGGGTAGTAGCTGGTGGCCGCTGCGAGACCGCCTCCTGTGAGCTCTCCATGTCGGTGATCTCCTGAGCACTCCAGGGACATCCTGGCGGCCATCTTTGGAGACGTCGTAGCGATCAGCCACTCCTTCAGCAGCGGCAGGCCCTTCTTGTCCTTCACACCGAGCTGGCAGCCTGCCACCTTCGCCACAGTCATTGAGCAGTCCTCCACCATCTCCCTGATCATCGTGTGTCCCCAGCCCTCGCACTTGATGGGCCACTCCCAGTGCACATGCTTGCCTTGAGCCACCTGGTCGTACACCAGCTGCACCGCGCCCTTGTACTCCTTGACGGCCTGCAACCTGCGCTTCCTGGCGGCCTCGGCCCTGATGGGGTTGGAGCCGTTGAAGCCGAGGGTGAGGTTCGATAGCGGGCCGCACCTCGTACTGATCCACAGGTGGTCTGGTTCAGCTTCATCACGTGCCTCTCGAGCCCTCTGGTTGCCGCCAGGGGTCCCCAGCTTGAAGCCATTCCAGGCACTGATGCGACATGCAGCGTCCTCGCCGAACTTCTCCGCCATCTTCGTGCTCAGGATGGACGTTGGGCTGCATGCGACCTCCATCATCTTAGCGCCGCCGTGAGCCATCAGCGCCTCGTAGTCCTCCAAGTGGCCGTCCTCCTTGATGCACTTGGCGAGCCAGCGCTGCTTCCTGGGGTCCAGCTCCTTTGTGCAGTTCAGCCCTCTGCCTGACCACTCGGACTGGAACCCACTGGTGCGAAGCTCCCGGCGTTGGAACTGGCTAAGCTCGCTGGGCCCTCCAGCTGGCCGATCCTCTGGTTGAGCTGGTTCAGCGCCGCCAGCATCTGCTCCTGGACCAAGCGGTTGGACTCCTTCTCCTCCTTCTGCACCTTGATCGCAGCCTCGAGCTTCTCCTGCTCCTCGATCACGTCGTCCATGATCGCGTCCACCGTCCTCCTGCGGGATGACCTCGCGCCCCCTCGAGCCTTGACCGGCTCCTTCGGGACCTCCTTCGGATCCCTGGTCACCTCCGCCTTCTCGTCGATGTTTTCCTGCTCGTTGAGCCACGAGGCAAACCGGGCCAGCTCCCAGCTGCTCTCCTTGTTCGCCTCCTTTCGGCACCAGGACGCGTAGGACGGGCACTGGCTCTGAACCTGCTGGTAGGTCATGGCTCCGCGCTTCCCGAAGCCCATGTAGTCGGTCGGCTCCGGCGTGTGCTTCATGAGGATGGCCTTGCGGATCCAGAGCTTGAGTGACGGATTCGCCATGCCTTGCGTCACGTGGGCGCCTACCTTATCGGCCATCGCCAACAGCTGGGGCTTCTTCATCGAGCTGAGGCCCTTCATGGCCACCTGCGCTGGCGTCTCGTCCTTCGGAAACATGTGCTCCTTAAGGACCTACTTCAGCTCGTCCACGCCCCAGGCCGGGCTGCGCGGCAGGCCAAGCTCCTGAAGTAGATGAAGTACCTCCGCCTTGTAGAGGCCCTGCACTGCACTGCGAGACGCTGGCATCTGAAGCGGCCGCATTGCACGAGCATGCGATCCTGGCGCAGGTAAGCTGGACCGCCCCGCGGATGAGGTTACCCCAGCGCATCCCTTTGCTGACATCGACGGCCTTCGGCTTGAGATGTGAAAGATCTGGTGGATCTGGAACTGCTGGTGGCTGGATGCCGTCGGTCGCTGTCGACTCTAGTGAACTTGCCTGGCTCGAGCCCGAACGGCTATGGAAGTGCAGCTGGGCCCTCTGGTTCGCCTGGGATGCTGGGTGAGCTCCGCGATCCATTGTGGGACCAACCTGAGACGGCACCTGAACTCTGTGAGGAACTGTGGCTCTGAGACCTGATGCGGGGCCCAACTGAGACTGAGAATGAACACTGCGAAGGACACTATCTTCAACTGCGGGACCCATCTGAGGCTGTGACCGAATGTTGTGATGAATTCTGCAACCAACTGTGAGGCAACCCTGATCACATGACTGACCTCTGCACGCACCTGCTGAATCGACTGGAGACGCATCGATGACAACGCTGCGATCCGATTGAGATTGATACATGTAGCGCTCCAACTGCTCAGCCCGAACATCCGAGCTGCTGTCTGGCCCCTGGCACACTGCGGCCACGGGCTTGCAGTCCCACTCACGCATGTTCTCGCAGATGGTCTTGAATTTACGCAGCTGGTTCTGGTCCCTGACGCGCTGCTCCAGCAAGTCGTCAACCAGGCTCATGTAGTAGTGTCCTCCATCAGGTGACTCCTCCAGCTGAACGGGGATGTCCGGTGCGAGCTTCACGAACACGGTCACCCCAGTCTCGCAGTCCACGACGGCTCCCAGCTTCTTCAGAACCTTCTTCGACACCAGGATCGGGACATCCTTCAAGAAGCCGTTGATGGCGATGTCGCCCTCCATTCCCGCGCCCGTGATGCCGATCTTCACCTGTCCGTCGGCGCGCTCCTTCTCGCCGTTCCCGGAGCTATAGACTGGCTTGTAGTCCAGGTTCATCCAGCAGCCTGGCGTCGCCATACTTCTCCATGTTCTTGCGGGCCGCGGTGTCCAGCGCGCGCTCACCACCCATGGCGTCCGTGCACCCTAAGTCGACGGTGCCCTTGCCCTCGCGGATGGCCTGGTCTGCGAACATCGCCTCGCACTTCGAGTCCTGGGGCTCCTGCTCGGCGACCAGCGAGGCCACGAGGTTGAACTTCAGCTCCTTCCTGCACTCAGCCACCTTTGCGCTCGCCTCCGGCGTGCCTGCAGCTCCTGGTCGGAGACGTGGGTCATGACGGTCCTGGCAGTCCTGAACCCAGTGAGCTCCACCACACTTCGCACTTCTTCTGGCCCTTGTTCGGCGGCAAGATCTGGCCTCTACCTCCTACCTGGGGAGGAAGTGGTCGGCGTGATCCCGCTGGGAACCCCTTGCCTGACCCCTTCGGCGCTGGCCGTCCTCCACGGTAGAAGCCCCTGATCAGCCGGCTGTCGGCCTGGGCCTCCCGAGCCTGGCGGGGGGTGCGTTGGGCGGTGTGAATCGCCGCGAGCGCCTCCGCCTCCTCCTGCTGAGCCGCCAAGTAGGTCTCGATGTCGTCATCGTTCGCCTCCTCCTGGCCTGGGCCTTCCTCCTGCCACTCGCAGTTCTCCACGTCGGCTGCGAAGCTGCTCGCGTCTGGTCCATCGTCTCCGTCAAGCCAAGTACGATCATCTTCTCCAAGCTGAGCTGTGTACGCCTTCGGGAACCTCGAGTGCCCGTCGCGTTCCGCCAGGTCGTCGTCCTCCCAGCTCGAGATCAGCAACTCCCGGATGATGTTGACCTCCAGCGAGCCGCCCGTCGCCGTCATGATGGCAGCCCTCCCGCGCGAGTCGAGCCCCGACCGCGCGAGCATCAGCCAGCCCAAGACCAGGCTAGGGAACACCTCCGGCATGTCCCCGAGCTCCTCCTCGGCGTCCGCGCCCTGGTCAGCAGCGCTCCAGTGGTGCGACTCCTCTTTCTCGTCGTCTGGCAGGCCGTCCGTGTACTCCCACGTCAATTCGCTACCCTCGAATGGCCAATCACGTTCGACCTCGATCCAACGGTAAGGTCGCTCTGACCTCTTCCACGGTGGAGCGACCTGAACTGGAACTGTGTGTCCGAGCGCGCGTGCCAACGCGCGCCTGAGGTACTGGTACCCTGTCTCGAAGCGGTCCGTCCACTGCTGCATCGGCTCGAGCTTGCGGCGCTTCGTCTTGATCAAGAACGTCTCGAGCTCCTGGCCGACGTCTGGCACAGCCTGTCGAGAGCACCTGCGCTCCAGCCACGCCAAGAGCCGCTCCACGCCGTCCGGCCTGGAGAGCCACCCAGCCTTGCAGCGCTCGACCGCGATCTCGGCCCGGCCTGTGAGCTTCGCCTCCGGCCGCGGGCCGCACAGGTACTTGTCCTCCCTCTTGGTGTCCTCCTGGTACTGGAGGGCCTTCCGCGTGTGCGTCCGCCAAGTCTTGGGATCCCCATCCCAGCTTGGCACCTTGCCCCGATGATCCTCGGTCATCGTAGTCAAACTCCGTGTCAACAACGTGCTCCTGCTACCATGCAAATAGTCGGCGGAAGCTGCGCAGCGGTATCGATCTGTGAATCTTTTCTGAACTCCTAAAGCTCGAGCCCTGCTCACAGGGCTTCTAAACTCCTGTGCCTCTGAGCGCGAGCGAGGGGGCGCCAGAGCCGAGACGGTAGCAGGCAAAACACAAATGGAAAACACAACTCCAATCGCAAACTGAAGCTATGCAATAACATGGAACATGAAACATCTGCTACCCTGCTGGACTCGCTCACTCATGCTCAGGCGTGCTCGTCTTCGGAATTGCAGGGGGGGTAGCTTCCAGCAGGGCAGCGCCAACCCCCCCCCCTTTGCTCGGGCCCTGCGGGCGCGCTCTCTCGGAAATCTCATACTACAGCTTGTGTCGACATATTTCCCGCACAGGAAACACGGATAACCACATGCAGCAGTTGCATGATGCTGCCACCGCTCTATTCGGCGAGGTTCGCTCTCGACATATGTGCGCGATTATGGGCGCCGATTTCAACGTCCAACTTAGTTCCTTACCACCCGCGCCATTCAGTTCTCTGAGCGAAGACGCCGAATTTAACAAACACCGCCCTGACATCTGTTCCCGCTATGTGGGGCCCCGTGGATTCGGCGACGACAACTCCCGACACCGATGGTTATGGCACTGGGCGACGGACGAGCGGCTCGCAATCGCGAGCACATTCTTGTGCAAACGTCCAGATACATGGATCACATACACAACGACAGGCGGCAAACCTCGACAGTACGATTGCATGTTGGTGGACAGGTGCCTATTACCTTCTGCCAGGACGCTGAAGCAAGCAATTGGTTGGCCTTAGTTCAGACCACAAAGCCGTATCTGTACACATGCGTATCAAAATGTTGAGCTCCAGTGCAAACAACCAAGCCGGCGACCAACGACCGACCAGACATGCCATCAAGCAGGCAGTCAGAGAAACCGACGACGTGAAGTATCGACACCATTTGGGCTCCAAGCTACAGTCCTAGCTCTTACCATCAGATCCTGTCGATCTGAACGACACAATAGAGAATATGTTTAACCATGCCAAGATGCGCAGCACGACTCCTGGAAGAGCACACTCCTTTCCGGCGGTTCCGACGACCAGCACAAGCAAAGACGACCGCCCAGACAACCTGAACGAAAACATGTCCAGCCCGGTGAAGCAACGCAATATCAGCCAGCGTTGATTCTTGGGCTTACGCCACACCGCCGACCCCTTGGGGTGGCTCGCAGCGCGTCGCCTTCGCTCATGTTGTCGGTGCCGGTGCCTTTGGGAGCTCGTTTTGAAGCGCATTTTGTGCCTCAGAGGTGTCTTTTTCGTCTTCGTGTGCGCCTCTTGGTGGCCTCGTGGTGCCTCTTAGAGGCCTCTTGGTGCTTCCTGTGGGGTTGTGGGGCTCTGTTGGGCCGTCTTGGCCGCCTCTTGGGCTGTCTTAGGTCTTTGTTCGGACTGTCTTGGGTTTCTTTTGGGCCGTTTTGGGCGGCTCTTGGCCTGTGTTCGGGCTCTCTTGCGGCCTCGTTGGGGCTCTCTTTGGCCGTCTTGGCGCGGTCTTGGGCGCCTGTTTGGGCCGCTCGTGCCGTCGGAAATTCGAAGGGGCAAGAAGGCCCAACACTTCGCAAAGCTTAGGCAAATCAATTAGTTTGGCTTCTTGAAGCCCGGTTGGGAGGCCTCTTGGGAGTCTCTTTGGTCGTCTTTGGCGTTTCTTGCTTTGTCTGGAGACCATCTGGATGCGGCCTGGGGCCATCTGGGGCCAGCTGGAAGCCATCTTGGGCTGTCTTGAAGCTTCTGGGTGCCATGTCGACGCCGTCGGGCGCCATCCAGCAGAATTTCTGGAGCAATTTACCCCCTCCGGCTGCAGTTGGTCGGGGCCGGCCGATCCGAATCGACTGTGCTCTCCGCGGGGGAGGGGAAATGGGCGGGGGCAACCGTCTCACGCGCCGAGTACCCCCAAGGGTCGTCGGAATACTCTCGCGACCCCCAGGAGGGGGGTGGGGGGGGAACCCGTCTTACCCAAGAGGCGAGGATGGAGGAGGAATCGGGGGTGGATGAGGAGGAGGAGGAGGAGGAGGAGGAGGAGGAGCATGTGAAGAAGGAGGATGGGGGAGGGGGGGATGGAGGATGAGGAAGGTGCGGATGGAGTGGATGAAGAGAAAAATTGCGAGCAGAATAGCTCGTTGTTTCTTGGACGCCTCTCGGAGTTTCTTCGGATGCATATTGGATCCTTCTCGGGGGCCTCTTGGGGCCTGTTGGGGGTCTCTCTGGAGGCTCTCGGGCGCCTCTTGGGACCAGTTGGGGGTGTCTTGGGAGGCTCTGGAAGAGGGAAGATAAACGGCTGTGAAAGGAGAGAATTGTCAGTTCATGCCCAGAACGAGTTTCATTTTTTTGGTGTGTGCAGTGTGTCGTATATGAAGAAGCCGGATGCATTTCGTCAGGGAACGTTCTGGGTTCTTCGCTCCACGAGCTGCGCGGTGACTTTCCGCGGCCATGTGCCGAGTCCCGGGTGCTCCGGGCCTCACCACGAATGCATCTCGCTCGCGGGCCTTCAGGGTTGGGCTCCGCGCGGGGGTGACTGGCGGCCGCGCCCGCGCTGCAGGGGCCGCTGACCACGCGACCACTGACGGCCGGCTGGTTGCCCTGGGCCACGCCGCGGCCGTTGAGAGGCCTGCGCCCCTGGCCCGCCCCGCGGGCGCGCGGGCGCCCGCCGCGCGCCGTCGCGCGCGCCTTCGCGCGGATGGCCGCGGCCGCCGCGGCGGCCCGCGGCGGCGGCGGGCGCGCGGGCGGCGCGGGCGGCGAGCAGGAGGACGCCGGCGGCGGCAGGAGCTGACGGGCGAATAAGACGCATAGAGTGCAAGCGCTTGGAAGAGAAGGACGAGTGGTTCCTGGGAGCACAAGATGAGTTCCGACGGGGGGCTCTGACTGAGAGGACGCACCAGTTTCTGCATGGGAAACCTACAGACGTTCCAGGGTCTTGGTTGAATGAGAAGCCAATGTGCGGTTCGCAGGCCTGCATGCAGAACGTGGAAGCTATCGCAAAAGACAACGAGCTGAAGTGTGGACGCTGTGCGGAGGAAAGAAAGCGTCGATGTCTCGTAGCCACTAGTGCCGCATACGAACGGTTCACACTTCCGCAGTTCGTCGAAGCCACTGCTACTTATCCCAATCAGGATGTGAAGTGCAAGGTAGCGCGGCAGCGGGCCGTAGACTGGGCTGCGTGCGAGAAGAAACAGATTTCGTGGGTTTACGCGCGGGATAAGGCAACGCACGCGACATACCAGGAAAGACCATACACCTCAGCAGACAAAGTGCGGTGGCTCGGATACCACGACAAGGCCTGTGCAGGCATGCCAGGATGGTTACCGCTTGCCGTGGGCATGCCAGTTGTACTGACGGACCATTTGGACCGATCAGAGAAGCTATTGCTACGAGGGTGTCGAGCGACGATAGATTCATGGGTGGTAGATGAAGAAGAAGAAGACGTGCAGGACGTGTCGTCGAGAGTCCTGCGTAAGATGCCAAGACAAATCGCGCTGGAATTTCACACCGACAAGTGGACGCTCAAAGGGATGCCGGGGCCAGGGATGTATCCCATAGTCCCTCGTGCTCGGACGTGGCATCTGGACTCGTATCGAAAGAAGCCCGTGTTGGGGGTGCGACGGAGACAGTTTATAATTTCGCCTGGGTTGGCGTGCACGGCGCGCGCAGCGCAAGGGCGAACACTCGACGCGGTAATGGCGGACTTGGAGGCAGGCAGAAACGTGAGCTGGATGTCGAGCTAGTGGCCATAACGCGCGTGAAGACTCGGCAGGGTCTGCTCATATATCGGCCATTTTCGAGACAGCCGTACACTCAAGGAGAATTGGAAGGCACGAGGTTGCTGTTACAGAAGTTGCGTGGGGAAGCGCTGCCGTGGCCCGACATCGAGGAGAGGTTGATGCCGCGGAAAACATGCGGGAAATGTCGGAAGGTGAAGGAAAAGGCTGAATTCAGCACGAATGAGTTCGGCGCGAAGTTGGGCCCGAGCTTCTGCTGCGAGTGCACGGAGATGTTGAAGGGGGCAGGGGAAAAGTGGTGCACGACTTGTGACCAATGGGCCGAGGTGGTCTCCAGAGTGGCGGGGGCCGAGTCCGAAAGGATCAGAGTGTTCATGCGGACAAGCAAATGCGACAGGTGCGCAGGGCCACCAGCCCGGGGGAAGTCGCGGACAGAGTCTCAGGGGTGGCAGCAGAATGTACGAGACAAATTCAAGATCCGTTGCGCTGAATGCTGTGAATTCGCGAAGACGGAGGCAGAAATTACGGCGAACCAGTACGCTACGAAGGGCGCAGGGGAGAAGCTCTGCAAGAAGTGCGCAGGGAAGAGGAAAGGCGGATGGGACAAGTGGAGCCAATCGCTGAAGAAAACGGAGAGGATGAATGCAACGAGCACTGCTCGACAAAGCGCGCGCCAGGAACAGCCGCTGAGGTGTTCGGAGTGCCCAAAAGACACAGACGGAAGAGGGCGGGGATTCACGGGCGCGGCGCATCTGACAACATAACAAATCAACCACTATTATAAAACGGGCGCAGCCCATAGGCCACTGAAATGCCGCGACTGCGACGCGCATCACAAGCGATCGCGGGTGTTCAGGTGCTCCGCGTGCCCGAAAGAAACAGATGGGAAAGAGCGAGAATTCGCGGACAGGACGCACCTAACAGATAAGCAAGTGAAGCATTTCTTCGCGAAGAGTTCGGACCGTCGCCCAGTCATGTGCTGCGCGTGCCAGGAAGAACGCAATCAGCCGCGAGCGCTGACGTGCTCCGCGTGCCCGAAAGAAGCAAGTGGAAAAGAGCGGGAATTCGTGGACAGGACGCACCTAACATATCAGCAAGTGAAGCATTTCTTCGAAGGGTTTGGACCATCGCCCAGTCATGTGCCGCGCGTGCCAGGAAGAACGCAATCAGCCGCGAGTGCTGACGCGCTCCGCGTGCCACAAGGAAGCAGATGGAAAAGAGCGAGA